AATAAAATCCTTAAAAAAAAAATGCCTGATAACTCACAACTTGTATCAAAATCCCAAAGTTACCACCCCTGAGTCTGAGTGCCTTAAGTCACTCAATAGTTAAGAGCTTATGGAAATATATATTTTTGTTATGCATAAAACAAATAACTTGAATATGTACTTCAAATATTACCATCTCCTGGTAAAAATGCAAAGAGAACAGCACATTTAAGAATTGGTTACTTGTATATAAGCATAACTTGGGAGATATTGCAGGTTCATTAGTAGACCACCACAATAAAGCAAGTCACAATTTTTTGGTTTGCTAGTACATACAAAGGTTATGTTTATCCCATACATACTGCAGTCTATTCAGTGCAATAGCATATCTTTTTTAAAATGTACATCCCTAAATTTAAAAATGCTTTATTGCTGCTTTAGAAAAAGCCATTATCCATGGCTTTAGTGAGCTGTAATTTTTCTGGCATACACAGACTTGATGAAGGGTTGCCATGAAACTTCAATTTGTAAAACAATCTGCAAACTGCAATAAAACAAGGTATGCCTGTACTTGACTATATTCATACACAATACATAAATCAAAAAATAAAGTTTTAGCCTATTAAAAATTGGCAAATGACAAAATAGTTACGTCAAATACACAAGCCAGTGAGGCTCCATTGGGCATTGTCTCTTGAACCAAAACATTGCAGGTTCCATCGGGGTCCATGCCTGGGTTGCAAGTTTGGTCCCCTAAGGCAGGTACAGAAGGCAACCAATTGTTTCTCTCACACCCATGTTTTTCATCCTCTCCCTCCTTCCCCACGCTTAAAAAAAAGATGATGTCAGACTAAAAATGTTAAGACTTCTGGCCAAGATGGAGGTGTAGGTAAACACTGCCTTCTCGCACAACCAAAAGAAGGACAACAAACTTAACTAGAACTGACAGAAAATCAAATTGTACGGAAACCCAACAACCAAGCAGTTAGAGAAGACACATTTATCCAGACTGGTAGGGGCGAAGATGTGCAGCCAGGTGGAGAGGACTTGAGGCAAGGCAGCGACTGGAGGACCTGGCAAGGAAGCGGATTGCAGATTGGGCAGTCCCATACTCACGTGCAGATAAAACTGAAGGGACAATTCAGGAGTGAGACAGACCACACAACCCAGGGCTCCAGTGTGGGGAAATAAAGCCTCAAAACCTCTGACTGAAAACAATGGTGGGGGTTGAGGCAGCAGCGGGAGAAACTCCCAGCCTCACAGGAGAAGTTGGAGAAACCCACAGCGTCCTAGAACATACACAAGCCGATCCACCCAGAAATCAGCACCAGAAGGGCCCACTTTGCTTGTGGGAAGCAGGGGAGGTGACCGAAAACTAGTGGAGAGCGGAGCAAGCAGCACTGTTCCCTCTCAAACCTCTCCCCCACATATAGCACCACAACGCAGGGACGTGGGTTGCCCTGCTCTGGTGAACACCTAGGGCTCTGCCCCTTACAACATCACAGGTGTGCTGAGATAAAAAAAAAAAATGGCCCAAATGAAAGAACAGATCAAAGCTCTAGAAAAAATACAACTGAGCAACAAAGATACAGCCAACCTATCAGATGCATAGTTCAAAACACTGGTAATCAGGATGCTCACAGAATTGGTTGAATATGGTTGCAAATAGAGGAAAAAATGAAGGCTATGCTAAGTAAAATAAAGGAAAATGTACAGGGAATCAACAGATGACAGGAAGGAAACTGGGACTCAAATCAATGCTGTGTACCAGAAGGAAGAAAGAAACATTCAACCAGAACAGAATGAAAAAAAACAAAAATTCAAGAAAATGAGAAGCTTAGGAACCTCCAGGACATCTTTAAACATTCCAACATCCAAATCACAGGGGTGCCAGAAGAGAAAGAGCAAGAAATTGAAAACTTATTTGAACAAATAATGGAGAACTTCCCCAATCTGGCAAAGGAAATAGACTTCCAGGAAGTTCAGGAAGCTCAGAGACTCCCAAAGAAGCTGGACCCAAGGAGGAATACACCAAGGCACATAATTATATTACCCAAGATTAAAGATAAGGAGAGAATCTTAAAAGCAGCAAGAAAAAAACAGGCAGTTACCTACAAAGGAGTGCCCATAAGACTGTCAGCTGATTTATCAAAAGAAACCTTACAGGTAAGAAGGGGCTGCAAAGTATTCCAAGTCATGAAAGGCAAGAACCTACATCCAAGATGGCTCTATCCAGCAAAGCTTCATTTAGAATGGAAGGACAGATAAAGTGCTTCCCAGATAAAGTCAAGTTGAAGGAGTTCATCATCACCCAGCCCTTATTATATGAAATGTTAAAGGGACTTATCTAAGAAAAAGGTCAAAAACTGTGAACAATAAAATGACAAACTCACAGTTATTAACCAAACCTAAAACAAAAACAAAAGCAAACTAAGCAAACAATAGAACAGGAACAGGATCATAGAAATAGAGATCACAGGGAGGGTCATCAGTGGGAGAGTGGGAGGGAAAGGGTGGGGGGGGAAGGTACAGAGAATGAGTAACATAAATGGTAGATGGAAAATAGGGGAAGAGAGATAAGCAATCTATCAGATGCAGAGTTCAAAACACTGGTTATAACGATGCTCAAGGAACTTAGTGAATACCTCAACAGCATAAAAATGACCCAGGCAGAAAGGATATAATGGAAACAAAGAATAATTTACAGTCAGCTAGTATGGCTCAGTGGATTGAGTGCCGGCCTGTGAACCGAAGGGTTGCTGGTTCAATTCCTAGTCAGGGCACATGCCTGGGTTGCTGGTCAGGTCCCCAGTAGGGTGTGCACAAGAGGCAACCACACATTAATGTTTCCCTCTCTTTCTCCTTCCCTTCCCCTCTCTAAAAATAAATAAATAAATAAATAAATAAATAAATAAATAAATAAATAAAATCTTTAAAAAATAAAATAAAAACAATTTACAGGGAATCAACATCAGAATGGATGAAGCTGAGAATCAAAGCAATGATATGGAACATAAGGAAAGAAAAAAAAACCAGAACAACAAAAAGAAAAAAATCCAAAAAAAACGAGGCTAATGTAAGGAGCCTCTGGGACAATTTCAAGTATATCAATCAATGTTCACATCATAGGTGTGCCAAAAGAAGAGAAAGAGCAAGAAGTTGGAACCCTATTTGAAAAAACAGTGAAAGAAAACTTCCTTAACTTGCTGAAGGAAATAGACAAGCAAGTTCAGGAAGCACAGAGTCCCAAACAAGATGGATGCAAACAGACCCACACCAAGACACATCCATAATTAAAATGCCAAAGGTTAAACAGAGAACCCTAAATATAGCAAGAGAAAAGTAGTTAGTTACCTACAGGGGAGTTCCCATAAGACTGTCAGCTGATTTTTGAAAAGAAACTTTGCAGGCTAGAAGGGACTGGCAAGAAATATTCAAAGTCATGAAAAGCAAGGACCTACTGCCAAGATTGATCTACCTCGCAGAGATATCATTTAGAATTGAAGAGCAGATAAAGAGCTTCCCAGAAAAAACTAAAACTAAAAAACTAAAGTTCATTATCACCAAATCATTATCATATGAAATGTTAAAGGGACTTAAGAGAAAAAGATCAAAACTATGAACAAGAAAATGGCAATAAACACATACCTATCAACAACTGAATCTAACAAACAAAGCAAGGAAGAACATAGCCCTGGCTCAGTGGATTGAGCACTGGCCTGTGAACTGAAAGGTCACCAGTTCAATCCCTGCTCAGGGCACATGCCTTGGTTGTGGGTCAGGTGACTGGTTGTGGGTGTAGGAGAGGCAAGCTGGTTGATTCGATGTTTCTCCACACATCAATGTTTCTCTCCCTGTCTTCTTCCCTTCCCCTCTCTCTAAAAATAAAGAAATAAAATCTTTTTTCATATCATTAGTTTATTAGAAAAGAGACACAGACGTTATTTACATGATGAAAGATTTCAGTACTCCAAAGGAATGGACTGCATAACATGATGCCATTTCAATAGTGATTTATTTCAGTCCACATACTTTCCAAGAATGTCACCATCTCTAAATAAGAAATAATCTTTGTCATCTAGAACTACTTTGGTTCCTCCACATTCTGGAAGAACTTTATCTCCAACTTTCACTCTACTGGTTGAATCTCTCCACCCTCTCATTTGGAGCCAAATCCAACAGCTACTATGATTACTTGCAATACTTTTCCTTGAGATTTTTTGGGAGCATAATGCCTCCTTTGGTCACAGTTTCTGCAGCACACCGTCCAACCAATACACAGTCAAAGAGGGACAGAAACTTTCTAAATGCCTGTCCTGTCATGACTCCAGCCACCACAGTTTGTGGTACTCTGCTCTCACGCTGTGGCTGAAAGAAGAGACCAGCAGTTGTGCCAAGAAATAAAATCTTAAAAAAAAAAGAACAGACAGAATCATGGATATGGAGGGCATTTTTGATGGATGCCAGATATGAGGCATGTTTGGGGAAATGGGTGAAGACATGAGGGAATTAAAAAGTACAAATTGGTAGTCACAGAAATGCCATGAGGATATAAAGTACAGTACAGGAAATGAAATAGCCAAAGAACTTAAATGCATGACACATGGACATGAAAAATGTTTAGGAGATTGCCTGAGGGAGTAGGGGCTTCTGGGGGTGACAAAGGGGAAAAACTTGGACAACTGTAACAGCACAATAAAATACAATTTTAAAGATTTGAACAACAAAAAAACCCTGTCTTCAAGCAATCCCTTAGCATTTTAGACTTTGCTGCTTGATTTGAAAACATCACTATCTTTATTTGCCCATTTAAAAGTTTCAAGCCACATCAAAAATAAAGGCATAGGCACTTTCAGGTTTTTGCCATCTTTTAATCTAAAAGCTAATTTGCATGAAGAACTGCAAAGCCAATCACTACAGTATATTAATGCTAAAAGACAATACTGGTACAAGAATGTTTAAATGTCACAGCAATATTAAGTCAACCTCTCTAACCAATAAAAACAAATAGGATAATAATATTCAAGTCAAGAAATCATTAGATTTTTATTCTAGTTTTCAGACTGAAAACCAGAAATATTGTCTTATTTCTGACACATTTCTATCAAACAGAAGCATGAAAGGTTTAAAATATTTCTATATATTTGTTGTAACTCTAATCAAGTTTAGTTTGCTATTCTATTTATCCATGCAACCCCTATTTCTCCATTTATCAATGGTTGTTAGTCCCCGTACAGAGTAAGCCTATTTAAATAATTTAGATCTGAATTTTCAATGAAAAGCTGTATTCCACATAAATTCCTTCAGTAAATATAAAGTGTGACATAGTATATTCTGTAAATCATGCAGACTGTTAGATAAACTTTGGTAAACGAATAGAGAGACTTCAGAAAAACATAGTGAAGTGATTTCATTTAGAAAGGTTATTATGTGTTGATTAAAAAAAAGGATCAACATCAGTATCATTGATATTAGTGTAACTATAATGACATTTAGAATCTTAAAAAATTCAACTTCCTTTACATCATCAGGCCAGGAACATGGCATTCTTTTTGAAGAAATTTTCATTTCAGGAATGAGAAGTTTTTTTATTTTTCCAATTTCTGTTCTGTTCCAATCTTCTTTCAATACTTGGCTTACTCGAGGATATATTTCAATACACTGGACCTCAGGAAGTGGTCTTTGTTTCAAGACCTGCACACGCTGGCGGACGTCATCAACTTTTTCAAGAAATTTAAGTGGAGACTCTTCTCGTAAAGATGTTGTCAATGTCATTAATTCAAGCTGCTGCTCTCTCATTTCTTTTATTCTTTCAATGTGTGGAGTATATTCTTGATTAATCAGATTGCCAACTTCACAGAGAGCAGTTAGGAAATTTTTTTTTTTCTGTTCTAATGTATCACTAAGCTCCTTAAAATACTGGAGAACAACTGCTTTCTCACTTTGGACCATTTTCTCTGAATGAGATTTTTGTTCTTCCAGCTTTTCAATAAGACAAGTAAGATCTGTCCAGTGTGTGTCTGTTAACTGTTCAAGCAGTTTTTGAGGTGTGTCCTTTTCTTTTAGATAGGCGCTTTGAAGATCATCTATAGGATGACCATGATGTTGGCCTATGGTAAGGCACTGACCACAAACTAACTTTTTATCTAGTAGGCAGTAAACATTTAATGGTTGTCTGTAATGTTCAGGGCAAGTGACAATATGTGGATGATCTTCCTGCTGGTACTTTTCAATAATAGCCCTTAATGCAAAATTAACAGGTAAAGATTCAATACCAGTTGGGGCAATTTCAATACTACTTCTGCAATTAGGGCACTTGAGTGGAATTCGTAAGGGTCTCCATATATAAAAGTTACCAGATGCCTGAAGAACGTTTTCCAAGCAGTTTCTACAAAACGTATGAGAGCATGGTAGTACACGAGGATCTTCAAAAATACTGTAACAAATGGGACATGTTAACTCGTCCTCAAAATTGTACATTTCCTGTCAAGAGAAAAAAAGTATTTTAAGCCTACATATAACAAAGATAACTGTGCATATGTAAATTTTTGGCTGTTAACCTCCACTGTTAATATATTATACCATGCTTCTCATTTAAAAGATGATAAAAGAAGGTGAAGAAATTAGTCAAAGAACATGTATGCATGACCCACAGACCCTGACAACAGTGCAGTGATGGCTTGGAGCTGGCGGACTGGATGGAGATGGGCAGAGAGGAAAATGAGGCATCTGTACTAGTGTTAACAATAAAAATAATGTTAAACAATAACTACAAAAAGTATGACAAAGAAAAAATAATAAGAGAATAACAGGTATTTACTAAGATCTTTTTTAATGTAACATTCTTAGTAATGCAATTCCTAATATATAATGCTGAATAACTGATCATCATTAAGAGCTTATTTAGGACAAAAATCATGGTAAACAATTCTAATTAATTTGTAATGTTTTAAATTGAAGTTATTTAAGTTTGTTCCTATGTAATGAAGATTTAAATTCAAAGTGTTCTATTGAAGTCTACTTAATCATTGTAACTATTCTGTGCAACTTTTTACATTCCAAAATGCTAAAAATAAGTTAGGCTTAGAAGAATTATATTCTTTAATGCATTCTTTAATGCTCTCAGTTGGCTCAACCATAGGTTCTAAAGCGAGTTACTAAATTTCTCTAGCAACTGCTATGATAAATTTCTTAGCTTCTTGCACTGGACTGGTAATGTGCTTAAAACCCAGGATCAGCTTAGGGTAATATTCTAAAGTAATTTTATTTATTTAAATTTTGAAAGCATGTTTATTAAAGTTGGGGGCAGTGAAACAAGGAAGGACTTAGGATAAAAGGAGCAACAGGAAAGAGCCTAGGTGGAGCTGCATTGGCTCTCTAGAAATGTTAAAGTAATTTTGATTTGAAGATTTAGAAGGGAAAAACATTTTTGAATTGGTCCTTGCAATAAAAAGGAGGTGTTAATCATGGCAACTGAATTATCACTAGACCATAAGCAGTAAAGAACACCATTAAGACTCTCTTTAATGAAAGAAGCCCAGTAATAGTTCAGAGACCCTGACACAATAAACTTGACCTCTCAGCAAGCTATTATTGACATTTTCAACAAGCCTGACAGTTTTGCACCTAATCACCTCTTTGTAATATTCCTTTGTACCTATCAATACAAGCCACAATCCTCAGGACTTACTTAGCCCTGATAGAGAAAAACCAAGTTACACTACTGTTTAAAGAACCTCAAAAAGCAAAACAAAAAACCCAAGTATCATTATGTAAAATACAGGGCCTGGAAGAAATAATGCCCCTTTTTATTACAAAGTCATAAGCATGTAATTCTGCAACATAACAATATCATACTCAAGCATTTTACATGAAATGCTCAAATTAAAACTGTAAATTATTATATCCCTATTACTACCCTACCAACCACACTCAAGCAGTTCTTACTTCTGTCAGACCCTGTGTAAAGATTACTATATCCTCCTCTATAAAAAAATTAAGTTTGAGCCCTGGCTAGTGTGGCTCAGTGGATTGAGTACTGGCCTGTGAACCAAAGGGTACTAGTTCAATTCCCAGCCAGGGCACATGCCTGGGTTATGGGCCAATTCCCCAATTGGGGATGCGCGAGAGGCAACCACACATTGTTTCTCTCCCTCTCTTTCTCCCTCCCCTCCCCTCTCTCTAAAAATAAATACATTAAAAAATTAAGCTTGAGAAAACAAATTGTATTTTTAATAAACATAAAAACTACTTTAGGCTTTTATCTCTGTGCTCCCTACACTTACCATTTTCAAAACCAAACTCTTATTCATGCTTCAAATCTCAATGTAAATCTACCTCCTCCCCAGATTAGGCGCCCTGTTAATCTCAACTGAACGTTGCACTTCTACTTTATTAGCATTTACCCGTATTTTCAGACCATAAGACGCATCTAGGTTTTAGAGGAAAATAGGAAGAAAAATTTTGAAGCAAAAAATGTGGTAAAATATTTAATAACATAAAATTTCACCAGTGTAAATGTAAACAGACCTCAACAGCATTAACAACCATTATTCCTCCCAGATTTGGTGAGGCAGAGGGGTGGGGGGGTGCGAGTACTCTTATAGTCCAAAAAATACGGTAACTGGCTTTCATTTAGAAAAAAATTCATAACATTTTTCTATACATCAGAATATAAACCTACAATAAGGGCAAAATTGTGTCTAAGCACAAAAGAGTAAGCATTTGCTCACAATTGGTAAATATTGCCTCTTTTTTCCCCTAAGGATTTTATTTATTTATTTGTAGAGAGGGAGGGAGGGAGAAAGAGAAGGAGAGAAACATCAATGTTTGGTTGCCTCTCTCATGCTCCAGTTGGGGACCCAGCCCACAACCCAGGCATGCGCCCTGACTAGGAATTGAACCAGAACCCTTTGTTTCATAGGCCGACACTCAGTCCACTGAACCATACCAACCAGGGCTAAACACTTCCTCTTACAAGACCAATGTTAATGTCAGATCTTAGTTTTCTGGTTTCTTTAAAATAGCAAAATCTCTGCTTTCTTAGGAAAAGCTCTAACTGGAGAGTCCATCAGAAAATACATTCCATTCAGACCAATCAATACTGAGAACCCTAAAAAGCCAAGATGTGTCACAAAGACAATAAGCTTCTTCAACTGTGAAACATTCCAGGAAACTCATGTAACTGGGCAACAGTACAAAAGATGACATTCACTGCACATAAATTCAAGTGCGTGCATGTTGGACTTAATGACTTTACCCCATTATCTCCAGATCACACAAAGCTACCCAAGAAAAACAAACATGTTTCTCAGAGAATTTCAGTGATGTCATGAAAAATACAGAGAACAGCACTTCACAAGGAATAAAATTTGAGCAGTGGACATATATTCTATTTAGATTTAACATTAGAGCTATTTAATATTAAACACAAAAATTATCCTTGAAATAGAATGCAATCTTTCCCTCCAAAGTCCTACAAATTTGTCAAAAGCTACAAAACATTCTCCCTCAGGACCCATTTAGGGATCCCAAAAACTCAACTTTCTTTAGAACGAGGATATTCTCAGTAATAATGTAAAGAAAATATCTCCTAAGCTCATATAAAAATGAAAGCAAATATTATGGTCTCAAAAGTTACTTTCATAGTATGTAAAATTTCATTAGAAATTTATGAATAACTTGAAGGCACAGAAAGTGAATTTTACTCTTGGACTACCTTCTTCTTGCTGAGTTATTAAAAATTAATTTTAGACAACAAACTCATGGGAAGTTAGATACTGAGAAGCCAGGCTGGTTGTCAATAACTGTAAGACTAGGAACTTTCTGACTCTGGTTGCTGCCCAAGAAACAGAAGATATAGGTGGTTATCATGTTTAGGGGCTAGTTCTTCCAGGATCGGGTGTGACATTTTATGCACAAGAAATTTCCATAACCAGCCTAAATTCTTGATGGTAAAAAAAGGAGCAAAAAACTTTAGCTATGTATATTTTCTAGGATAAATATATTAAATTTAGCTATGTTGTATATATGTAACAACACTGAACCCTGTAAGACAATGAAGCAATAACTTCAATACAGATGTGGGCAAAAATAGGTTAATAATAATAAAATTCAATAATTAATGACTAAATAATCATACAAGAATAAACTTTGTATTTTGTGTACTCACAACTGTAAAACTACTTTTGTCCTTCCTGTATTCTCAGAAAAAAATGGCTTCCAACCTAAAATCTTATGCAAAGAAAAATAAAAAACTTTCCAGGGTAGACTAAAGATAACTTGACATGAGAGTTCTCAAAAATGAACATGCCTCCCTCCCCACTAAGTAAGGAAGCTACTGTAGTGTTGAAAGAAAAGCAAAAATTCTCATAAGAATAATGGTGAAATGAAGTCCAGGAAAAGTGTTCAGCAAGCCTACAGCACAAGTAGTCCAGAGGAAGAAGACAGAAATCCAGAAAAAAATGTCTTTTAAGTAAATGAATGGAACTGACAATATTTCACGTGTCTGAACATACTGAGAGGTAATGAGGAAACTAAATTTAAGGAAAAGTGATAGAATCATGAAAAGAGAAAATATGTCATAATTATATGGCTTAGTTGTCATTCACAAAATCATATTTAATATTGATTTGTTCAAAAAGCATGACTGTTATAGACTGTCATGTCTGTGTCCCAACAAAATTTCTATGTTGAAATCCTAACCCTTGCTCTGGCTGGTGTAGCTCAGTGGATTGAGCATGGGCTGGGAACCAAAGTGTCCCAGGTTCGATTCCCAGCCAGGGTACATTCCTGGGTTGCAGGCCATAACCCCCAGCAACTGCACATTGACATTTCTCTCTCTCTCTATCTCCCTCCCTTCCCTCTCTAAAAAGTAAATAAAATATTAAAAAAAAAAAAAGAAATCCTAACCCTTTATGTGATGGTATTAGGAGTGGAGTCTTTGGGAGGTTGTTAGATCATGAGGGTGGAGCCCTCACGAATGGGATTAGTGTCCTTGTGAGAAGAGACACCAGGGCTTCCATCTGCTCTCCCCTGCATGAGGACCCAGCGAGAAAATGGCCATCTGCAAACCAGGAAGAAAGCTCTCACCAGACCCTAACTATGCTGAGCTGACATTTTGATCTTAGGCTTCGTAGTCTCCAGAACTGTGAGAAATAAATGTTTATTGTTTAAGGCACCCAGTCTATAATATCTCAAACTAAGAAAATGATATAATTATATTTGGGGGAGGGAATATGGGAAAGAAACTGTGTTTAAGAACTAAATCTTCTCTTATAAGAAGTCAATACATACCTAAAAGTGAAAAATCAAGAAATCACATAAAAAGCATATTATTTAGAAATACAGAGGCAAATATCAAAAGAAATCATAAGAAGAAATATAAATGATTGCTTCTGGAGTACAGGAACCAGAAATGAGGAAAGAGAGAGCAGGGCACTGCTTTTTTTCATTATAAACTTAAATACTGCTATTTTACTTTCAACTGCTAATATGCAATTAAAATACAATAAAGTTTTAAAGAAAGAAATAAAGACAATCCTACAAACATCCTAGCAGAAAAGATAGCTAAAAACAAACAAACAAAAAACGTAATTCTCTTCTGGGAGACTGTAATTTCCAAAGATGGCGACAATTACCGCCCACATATGCAATGGAACTTTGCTAGTTCTCCCCCATCAAAAGATGAAAGCTATACCCCTCCTGGTGCCTCCCCCCACCCCTAAATCTGGATAGGACACACAAGTGCTCTGACCTACAGGATATAACACAAGCGATACGATGACAGTTCTGGGTATGGCCCGTAACTGGCCTGGCAGGTTGCTGACTCTTAGAGTCACAAACTGCTAAGTTAAAAGTCCAGGCTACTCTGTGGAGAGGCCAAATGGAGAAGCAATGAGGTGCCAGACATGTAAGTAGAAAAGCCATCTTGGACATGCAGCCAGCCAGCCTTCAGATGTTTGTTACATAGTAGCAGATAACCAGAGCCAGGAAGCAACAAGGAATGCTAAAACAATGTAGCATGTCCACAAGGTCTGGAAAAGAACATGACCTACAAATTCTTGTACCCAGCCAAGATCTAATTTATTGTTGTGAAACAATATAAATACTCTCGGCAAAATCTATAGGGTTAAAAAAAAATTCTAGAGAGCAGAGTTGAAACCATATACTTTCATTACCAAAGTCATATACTCTCATTAACCAGTAAAATGTATTACTTTCTCCAGGAAGTCCAAGTAAAAATGGATAACTTAATTTGAGATTTCCTGCTTCTCTTTTGAAAGTCACCAAGAAAAAGGAATATAGAAATTCTTTTCAGAAAGAAACCTAAGGCTACATCATCTACTTATAAATTATTTCACAGATTTCTTGTGTTTAAGTATCAAAAAACACATTTCTGAATTTCTAAACTTGTTATGTAGTCTTTCTCCAGAGGGCTGATTTTGTATATCTCCACAATGTCTAACCAGCCTATTACGGATGGGTCAGCGCTGATAAGAAATGATGGAGAATTAAGCAGCAGCAAAAATATCATTGCCCATTCTCCTGTGTAAACAATTTTTACTAATATGTTATTGCCTTTCATCTCTAAACATGAATGGTTATAAAACATTTATTACATCTAACATCCATTAAAGAGGAACTATATTTACCACATTATAGAGTTAGATGACTTGTTCTAGGACTTACAGTGTGAGTCAGCTATAAGTCTGGGAAAATTCAAGAGGTGCCACCACCCAGACTGGGGCTCACATCCTTGTGGCCCTAACTGATAAGAAGCACATATCATGTAATTAAACTTACTTTGGAAATACTATAATTGTGCAGTCTCTATACATAAGGTAAGTTTTAAAAGTACTTTTGTGCATCCCTGGCCCACTGGCTTGGTTGGTTAGAGCATCATTATGTGCACCAAAAAGTTATAGGTTCGATACCTGGTCTGGGCACATACCTAGGTTGCAGGTTCAATCGCCAGTCCGCGTGCATATGGGTGACAACCAATCCATGTTTCTCTCTCACATTCACGTTTCTCTTTCTCTTTCTCTCTTGCCTCCCCCTCTCCCCCACGCAACCATCCTCTCTCTGAAAGCAGTGAATATATCCTTAGGTAAGATGTAAAAAAGATAAAATACTTTTGAACATATACATTGTGCAAAACAGTGAGGGATCACCATAACTCTTTCAAAAAAAAAAAAAAAATCCCTGGTCAGATCTGATTACAACTCTGCCCATTTGTACTGTTTTCCTGCATTTTGACATCAACAGGTTTCCCCAAACTAAAAAAGAAACAGTTAATGCAGGGAATTAAGGAAATTCAGGGAAATAAAGAAACTATTTATTCAGGGAATAAAAATTACCTGAAAATTCTTTTGTTTCGTATTCACTTGATTGATCTCCCACAGCTTACTCACTTTGTCGATCTTCTACTTTGAAAACTGAATATACTTTCTCTCTCCAAGTTTTTCAGATTCTTTTATTCTTATTCTAAAATTAAAAGTAATGTTTTAGAAGCACAATCTCAAAAAATACAATAAATAGGATACCACAGGAAGGGTTATTTCGCTGTCTTTGATGTTTACGCTCCCTATGCTTGTGTATTTAGAAAAGTAGTGACAAATACCAACAGTTGTTGCAGCAGCAGGAGAGGCATCACTTTACCTTGAAAGTCCCAACAACTCTGCGACCAAATAAATGGTCACGAAGGACTTCTTTTATGACGCCAAGCATTTCTTGAGCTCTCAAAAATACTGTTAGCCAGCAATGGTGATGATGAGGCAAGCATTCACGGTCATTTCAGATTACTTAAAGTGGAAGTGGAAGGCAAGAAGTATCCTTGCACTGAGAGATGTTTGCCACCTTAGACCTCAAAGTATTGATTTAGGTTATTCCCATCAATACGTCTGTTCATGAAACTATTGTGAGATCTTGGGTCACTTTTAATGCATTTCCGAACTGAAGTTTCCCATCTGTAAAATGGGCAGGAGTCCACCTACCCTGTTAAGTCCCAAAAGAACCTCTCCCAGAGAAAGGGCTCCCAATAGCAACAGCCTTCCCCTTCTCTTTTTCAAGATTTACGAGAAATCCTCCCGGGCCTCCCTCCTCCGGGGCGCCCGCCCACCGGCTCGGGCCTCTGCCCGGAAGCCCGAGCCGCGAGGCAGACCCGCTCCACGGAGTCCAGCCCCTCCCAGCCTCCCCGCCACAGAGCACGGTCCCCCCCCCCTCCCCAGGAACGTCGTTCTACACTGTGGGGGAAGGAAACGAGGCTCCCCACAGTCCCCAACGGGGACAAGAGGGAACAGTTGCAGGACCCAAGCCCATTCTCCCCAGCAAGCCCCTCGACTGCCCTCCTAACACAGCCAACATACCAGCCTCTGCTACAGACAGAGAAGAGGAGCCGCCGCCTTCTCCAAGGCGAAGAGAAGCTCCTTACACTCAGCCCGTCAATTTCACAGGCCGACACCGAGCTCGCCGCCCTCCGAGTAGAGGCGGAGAAAACCCCAGCTTCCCGCCCTCCTCCGCCTGAGGGCCCACAGGTGCTCAGATGGGGCGGGGCTTCGCCGAGCCCCCCAAGGCAGCCGCCGTCTCCCGGCAACATTCAACTGCCTAGCGCCGGCCAATGGGAAGGAGCGCGGGGTCGCAATTCGAAAGTAAACCGCCGGGCTCCTGCAGAGGCGGGGCGTGAGCTCCGGGTCTGGGTGGGAGGTGCCACGCCAGCTTCCCGCGCCTGCGCACTAGGTGCAGGCAGCCCCCTGCCTTCCCCCGGAGGTCCAGTGCGGATGGCACCGAGGCTGGGCTGGGGTCTTTGCTCAGGAATCCGGATGGCACCATTGGTCCCGGGAGAGGTGGGGTTAGGGAGCAGCCAGCGATTCTCAGTACTATTTGCTTCACAGGCTCCCTGCTTGGAGGAGTTTCCCCACCTGCTGTGAAGACACACTCACCCCAGTGGGCAGGGTCTGGGCCCCAGAGCCGGGTTTCTTTTGTTTACAGAGTCTGGACACCTGACCCTACCCGAGTACTGGGGTGAGCGTGGGAAGAAGGGGCTTCTGATTATTTAGAATTGTCTTGTACTTAAAGAAAACTAACCCCGTTAGAGCTAGTAGGATCTTGGGACTCATTGGGACGATCTCCCTGCTTCTCTCCCTGCTCTTCCCGCCCCCCAGTTTATGAAATTACCGCTTAGCGATGACGACTGTTGCACAAATTCCTGACTCCCAATTCAATTTCTCTACCAAGTCCCTATTTCACTTCCTTAACCCCCTAGAATCAGAAAACATAAATGGCAGTCATCCTTTTAATTCAGAAACTTTATCCAGCTGTATCTCAAGATACACTCATACAGTCCCTCCCTTAACTATATCTAAAAGCCGTTTACCACCGTGCTAAATAAAATTATGAGTATTGTTATACTGGGTATTTCCAGTACATTCAGGTTTTAAGCTCCTAATATCATAAATTACAGGAAAAAACACAACATAAAACAATGTGATGAGTCCTAAGCCGAACTGAGATGTCTTTCCCCAATTCAGTTATTGAAAAAGCTACTTTATGATGTGCGGATTCTGGCAATATCCAGAGATACCCAGTATTACATGGTGGTGTTGTAACAGGGAATAAAAACTTTATACTACTCTGACTTATCATAAAGTAGAATTAGACTAAAATGTACTAACAAACTAATACAAAGAACTCACATACTTACAGTTTCCTTATAAGCATATTGCAAATGCCAGCAGTTCCTGTACAAAAAAACAGCCTTGACCACAACTTTGGGTAATGCAGATCACCCAACTGCAGGAATTTGGCTGCACTGAACAGCTCCAGGATGCTGACACATTAAAGATCCGTATCAGGACCAGCTGCCTGCACATCCACAGCCTCTTCTCCCAGTATCTTTGTTCTCCTTGCCCCTCACCCTCCTTATAAAAGCCTCTGCCTGCACTGAGATGTTAAGGTGGGCTTTGAGATGAGAATCCACCATCTTCCAGGTTACTGGCACTTGAATAAAACCACTTTCCTTTATATCATCAGTACACGACTCTAGAGTTGGCTTTCAAAGCAGCAGGCAGCTGGAACTGCTCTAGGTTGTAATATATGAGAACATTTCAACTTTGTTATCCACATGTATTTTCTAGTTAAACATATAAGGATAGCTTTTTAACTTCTGTCAAAACAGTATGTTGTGAATATCTTTCTGTAACAATATATGTACTATACTTCTATAAAATTATTCTTTTTTTTAAAGCATAACTATGATGATAACTATGGGTTTTGGGTGATTATGATGTCAACATAGATTCATCACTTGTAACAAATGTACCACTCTGGTGGAGAATATTGATAATGCGGAAGGCTATGCATGTGGGGGAGCAGGAAATATGTGGGAAGTCTCTTTACTCTACCCTCAATTTTGCTGTGAACCTAAAAATTCTGTTAAAAATAATAGGTTCTTGCCCTGGCTGGTGTGGCTCAGTGGATTGAGCACTGGCCTGCAAACCAAAGGGTCACTGGTTCAATTCCCAGTCAGGGCACATGCCTAGGTTGCAGGCCAAGTATCCAGTGTGTGGGGTGTGTGAAAGGCAACTGTACATTGATGTTTCTCTACCTCTCTTTCTCCCTCCCTTCCCCTCTGTCTAAAAATAAATAAATAAAATCTTTAAAAATAATAAATTCTTAATTTAAAAAAAGCTTTAAAATTTTTAAGTGTAATTCCTCCAGAATGCATACATGTGGCCGAGTACTGCTTTGAACTATAATTTTTTCCACCTGTGTTTTCCCCTAAAAAGAGTTATGTGCTTAGCAAGAAAGCAAAAATAGCTTTCACCACTAGACTTAACTGGCCTTTATTTTCTGAAAAGCCTTGGCCCATTGAGGAAAATAACATCTGAGGGAAGAGACTGAATGTTCAGGATCAGAAAGAACTCTAAAAGAATCTATGCACCCCACTGTTCACAGCAGCACAATTTACAATAGCCAAGTGCTGGAAGCAACCTAGATGCCCATCAGGAAATGAATGGATCAAAAAACTATGGTACATTTACACAGTGGAATTCTGTGCATCAGAAAGAAAGAAGGAGCTCCTACTCTTTGCAGCAGCATGGATGGAACTGAAGAGCATTATGCTAAATGAAATAAGCCAGGCGGTAAAGACAAATACCATATGATCTCACTTTTAACAGGAACCTAAACAACAAAACAAACAAACAAACAAGCAAAATATAGTCAAAGACACTGAAATAGAGAACAGGCTGACAGTGACCAGAGAGGAGAGGGGAGGGAATTTCAGGGGATAAGGGGAGGGGTTTGCAGGAACAAGTATAAAGGACACATGGACAAAAACAAGGGGGGCAGGGAACATGGAAACCGGAGGGAGGGGGGGAGGGCTGGAACGGTGGGCTGGGATGGGAGTAAAAGGCAGAAAACTGTACTTGAACAACAATTAAAATTTTAAAAATTTTAAAAATTAAAAAAGAAAGAAGTCTAATAGCTCCAAAACAGAGACTACTCAGGTCCTAATGGGGGTGCTGTGACACCTGCAAGGAAGGGCTACATCTATTCCTACATCTGTTCCTGCTTTAGAGGCCCGTGGGTTTCCAACTTTGCCAAAGACGTCTGTCACTCAATGTGACCAGAAGTGCCAGACAGCTAGCTACAGGAGCCTAAAAAGCAGCCGTAACAGTGACAGTCACCTGACATACTTAGGTTTATGAACTCTGTGGAGGAAAAGTGGCCTCATACTAAACCTGACAAGCTCTGGGGAGGCCTGCATGGCAGCCTTACAAACTCAGAGACTAAAGTAACCACATAGGATGGTCTGAGATGAAAACCTTCTAACTCCAAGCAGTTCATGGCAGGTAGTCCTGTCCTAGGGCAGTACTTTTCCCTAACAAAGGTCAGTAGATACCCTGACTGAGCCTGTCGTCTTTTTGCATCTAGGATAATATGCCTGGTATCATGTCTTTGCAATAACAAAGTAATTTCCCCTTTTCCAGACCCTTCAAAGCACAGGTACCCCAGCAGGTCAGACTTCCTGACACAGTTGAAGGCTAAAGTATGAAATACAATCTGCTTTCTAAAAATATTTTTAAAGATTTTATTTATTTACTTTTAAAGAGGGGAAGGGAGAAAGAGAGGGAGAGAAACATCAATGTGAAAGAGTCACATCGATCAATTGGTTGCCTCTTACATGCCCCCAACCTGGCCCACAATCCAAGCATGTGCTCTGACTGGGAATTGAGCTGGCAACTTTTCATTTCACAGGCTGGCTCTCAATCTACTAAGCCACACCAGCCAGGGCTAAAATATTTTCTGATGACAAAGAATAATTTTCTAAGAAATCATCATTGGTAAAAGAAATGAAGAAAATGCAAATTATAATAATCCCACCCTTTAGAGTAACCACTGTTCACAATGTGATGTGTACAGAAATTTCCTCAACTTGTGAACTTACATCAGAATAAAAGCCTCACTGTCTTTCCCTGTCACCAAGGAATGAGATTAGTGGATACTGGCATAGTGATATCACCTTGGACTTAATGAAAGCCTGGCCTTATTAAAAGTCTTTGATCAGCCCTGGCTGGTGTGTCTCAGTGGATTGAGCGTGGTTCCCAGTCAGGGCACAGGCCTGGATTGAGGGCCAGGTCCCCATTGGAGGTTGTGGGAGAAGTAACCACACACTGATGTTTGTTTCCCTCTCTTTCTCCTTTCCTTCTCCTCTCTCTGGAAATAAATAAATAAAATAAAATAAAATAAAACAAGTCTTTGAATCCTTTTCCTGTTCATAAATTGAGCAGCTTCTGTATTCTCCAGATTTTCTATGCATTTGCTAACATCTGCTGGATTATGAACATTAGGCTTTATCATATCTTCCTAAGGAATGCATAATGTTCTCCTCTTCCAGAACATTTCTTTCTCCCCAGCAAGCACTTCTTAGAAGACCTTCAGTGAGGGGATCAGCTGGGTTATAAAAATCTACTGCACCTGTCCCTTGATTCAATTATTTTATTTCTTGAGTTTTAAAGAGCAATTCCTTTAAATCACCTTCCACCCTCAATTTCCAACACCTAGGGAAATTCCTGAGGCTTCCCTTAAGATTTCTGAAAACTTCCATGGATTTAATTTGAAGTCCCCCTTATCTCCAGGGGTGATGTCTCTGTTTCACCCCTATGTCATCCCAGAATGCACAGCTCAACCTCAATTCTAATTTCCATAAGAAATCTCTTCACCCCAAGCATGTTATGTTGGAAAACTCTTTACTAGAGTTTAGAGGACTGCATTGCATAGCACCCAGCACTCCACCATCTCCTTTGCCTACTTCTTTTCTCCTTTCCTCCTGGATCCCCTTTCTTCCAGTCCCAAATTCTTCCTGCTCATTTATTCAGGTAGCTTCCTGTTTCTTGTGGGCCTGTGCTTCCTAAAATTTAGTCTTTGAACCAGTAGCATCAGCAGCACCAGGAATGTGTTAGAAAAGCAAACTCTCAGGTCCAAACCCAGACCCACTGCATCAGAAACTCCTGTGGCAGGGAGCTGGCAATGTGTTTTCAAAAGCCCTCCAGGGTTTTGATGCCTGTTAAAGTTTGATAACTACTGCACTCACATCCAAGGTTTAAATTCTCCCCCATGTCTGCCTCTGAAGTTATTCTGTGAGCAAA